CTGGGGAACCCTGGTACAGGAAGGCAGAGAAATGGGGTAGTAGCCAGAGGTGATGTGGGTTGAGATAGAATTTCTTTACATAATAGAAATTATAGGACTACACAGACAAAACTGATGACGCAGGATGAGGGGGAGAGAATTGTGGAGAGTGTCCTTGGGTGAGAACGGGATGGGATTTAGGGTCCAAGTGGAGAAGCTGGAAGTGGAAAGGAGGGTGACAGAGTTTCAAGGCCCAGACGCTGGTAGGTAAGTAGGTGTGGTAGTGGGAGCGCATGAGATTTCTCTTCTATTGCCTTTATGTTTTCAGTGGAAGAAGCAAAGCCATCCATGAGAGTGAGGATGGGGGAGAGGAGTTGGAGGTTTAAGGAGACAGGAGACAATAGATACTGGAGGGCTGTGATAGATTATGGAGGCCTCAAAGAATCTCAGTTTGATCAGAAATTTACCTTCTTTGCTGTGGTCTGAGCCTTCATGGGAAGTGGGTCCCAACCCCACTCCACAAAGTGGACCGTCTTGGGTCTGAGCCAACCATAGTTGTCTCATGTCCCTTGCCAGTGAATCATTTAGGCTGAGGCCTGTGACACAATGCTGGCCAATGTGACAGTCGTTCATTCTTTCAATAACTATGACTGAGCACCTACTATGTGCCCGTTTTGGGTGCTGGAGACACAGAGGTGAACAGAACAGACAAGAATCCCTGTCCAGGGGGAGCTCATATTCCAGTAGAGAGAGACAGGTAGTAAACAGCAACATCATAAACAAGCAAATTTATGGTGTATTAGAAGAAGATATGGCTATGGGGGAAAAAGTAGAGCAGGGTAAGGGATATCAGGAGCACTGAGGGGTTTGCAATTTTTAATAGGGTGTTAGTTTGGACTTGAAGGGAAGTCTGCTAGGGGGCTCCTGGGAAAGGTTTTCTCAGTGATAAGAAAGATACATGGTAAGATGCTGTCCCTTTTCCTCCTGTGGACATTGACCAGAGGATGTAATGTCTGGAACTATGGCAACCACCTTGTGACCATGAGATGATCTAACTTGAGGATGAGGCTGAACATGGCAAGGCTGAAAGATGAGAAGGATCTGGATTATTGATAACATTAGTGTGATTTCCTGAATTATCCAGCTCCTGATCTATCCTACCTTCGGGCTTCTTGTTATATGAGATTACACATTCCTGATTGTTTAAGCAAGTTGGGTTGGGATTCTCCATTATTTAAGGGAAAAAAAAACTCCCAATAAACATATTTGCATTTTATACACAATAGTCTAGTTCTATTTGTTCTACAACCATATGTGACGTGACAATATTTCATTAAAAAAAATCCCTTGGGCCGGCCTGGTAGTGTAATGGTTAGGTTTGCATGCTCTGCTTTGGTGGCCTGGGGTTTGCAGGTTCAGATCCGAGGTGCAGACCTACACACCACTCATCAAGCCATGATGTGGTGGTGTCCCACATACAGAATAGAGGAAGATGGGCACAGATGTTAGCTCAGCAGCAATCTTCCTCTAGCAAAAACAGGAAGATTGGCAACATATGTTAGCTCAGGGCCAATCTTCCTCACCAATAAATAAATAAATAAATAAATAAATAAATAAATAAATAAATAAATCCATAAGTGCTGAAGAAGTTAACAGGCATCCACCAGGGTCCTGGGGATGAAAGAAACCACGCTGCTCTAGCAGATAGTGGTGTTCAGAACCATGGAGAGCAGCCCCGAGGTGCTGCCTTCTCAGCACTGTAGACTAGCTCTTCTTACCTGGGTTTCCACTGGCCCATCCCTTTCTACGGACCACTGTTCAGAGATGGCGAGGGAACATTTAGGATCAGAATCTTTGCAGCTATTGGCTTATCAGGTGGTCCAGTTTGGATCTGAACTTGAGCTGGTTTCTATGCACAACAATAAAGCTAATTTGCCCTTGTCCTTGAAATCAGAGTTGGAGATATTAACGTAGGATGTGTTAGGCTGCCTTATCATTCAAAATATCTTCTTCTCTTCCAAAGTGAGGAATCCATTTCTTGGGGAAATTATAAATCTCAGTCCTATTGATCTCAGGCTTGGCTGTGTCACTTGTTTGGGCCAATGAAATGGAGGTGGAAGGAAAGCAGTGCATTTCATTTCTGAATAGAAGCTCTAAGAACCAGTGCATAGTCCACCATGTACTCCGATCTCTCTGCTCTGAGACCAGCAGTATCCCAGGTAGGGCTGAATCCTCATCCTGGATCCCAGTGAGGAGCTGAGACTCAGCCTGCCCAAGATGGACATGTTGCATGAGTGAGCAATAAACCTTTCTTGTTATAAGCCACTGAAATTTGAGGGTCATTTGTTACGACAGTGTAACCCAGCCTAAGCGGACTGACACAAGACTAATCAGTGAGAAGTTTTGTGAATCCACAGGGATATACGAGATGACCCCAGAGAGAGTGTAAAGACGGAAGAGAGATGAGAGTCCAGGACAGGAGCCCCAGAAGCCTGAGTGTTTAAGAGGTGGGAAGAAGAAAGAGAAAGAGAATGTGACTGAGAAGGAGCAGCCAGAAGTTGAAGGAAGGCAAGGAGAGTGTGACATCACGAAAGTCAAAGTGGGAGAGAGTGATAGGACGGAGTTGGTAAGGAGTGGGTCAGAGGCTGCTGAGAGGTCTTCCAGGGTGAGAACTGGAGAAGCAACTGCAGGATTTAGCTATAAAGAGGTTGTTGGTATTGAGTGGAGCTCTGGGGGCAGAAGCCAACTGTAGAGGCTGTGGAGACTGGAGCAGGTAAGGAAATGGAGCCCATGGAAGACAGAGATGGAGAAAGAGTTGGAGAGAAGAGTACAGATTAAGAAAGGGATTTCATAAAGGGGGAGGCTGCTGATGGGCAGGTACTTGTAGAAAGGAAGTTTTGAAAGATAGAGGATAAGAGAGGGGTGATTTATGGAGGAATGAGATAGGAGGGCCCAGGATGAGGCACTGGCCCAAATTAGGAAGAAAGGCAGCTCATCCATCATGACAGGATGACAGGGAAGTGCAGGGGCAGGTAGGAGAGTGGTGTAGATGATGAGTAATTTCTTTTTTTGTTGTTGTTGTTGTGAGGAAGATCAGCCCTGAGCTAACATCCATGCTAATCCTCCTCTTTTTGCTGAGGAAGACTGGTTCTGAGCTAACATCTATTGTCAATCTGCCTCTTTCTTTTCCCCAAAGCCCCAGTAGATAGTTGTATGTCATAGTTGCACGTCCTTCTAGTTGCTGTATGTGGGACGCGGCCTCAGCATGGCCGGAGAAGCGGTGCATTGGTGCGCGCCTGGGATCCTAACCCGGGCTGCCAGTAGCGGAGCGCGCGCACTTAACCGCTAAGCCACGGGCCGGCCCGATGATGAGTAATTTCTACCTGGCAGCTTCTGTGAGGCAGAGGGCAAAGTAATCTATTTGGAGAGAGAGTGGGTGTGATGGAGTATTGGACATGAAGAAGCAGAGAAGATCTGAAAGGGCTGGAGCGAAACTTTGAAGAAACAGAAGATTTAAGAAATAGTGAGGTCACAGAGATGGGGGTAAGCGGAAGAGCCTGGTTCCCTGGACTGCAGTTCCAGATTATCATCTTCCACCCGCCTCCGTGGATACTGAATATAAGGACACTTTGCAGCTTCATACCAATGAGAGTCTTGGGAAATGATGGAGGCAGGGCAATCCCATGCAGCCAGAATTCTTCAACTTTGAGGGAAACACTCCTTTCATGTCCACGTATATCATTAAGGATTCTTTCGGCTGTAAATAACAGAAAGCCGTAACTCAACTGGCTTCAAAAGTGAGGTAAATTTATGATCTCACCCAAAAAATAAGTAATGAATACAGACACGAAAATCCTTAACAAAATATTAGCACATGGAATTCAGCAATAGATCAAAAGAAGTAAACACCAGGACCCATTGGGGTTCATTCCAAGGATGCAAGCCTAGTTCAATATTTGAAAATTAATCTATATAACCCACCAAAACAGGCTAAAGAAGAAAAATCACACAATTAAATCAATCAATGCAGAAAAAGCATTTGCCAAACTTCATCAATCATTTATGATTTTAAAAAACTCTTAGAAAAAATAGGAATGGAGAGGAACTTCCTCAGCTTCATAAAGAGCATCTACAAAAAAACCTACAGATAACATTACACTTTGTGGTGAAAGACATGCTTTCCCCCTAAGATCAGGAAGAAGGCAAAGACGGTCTCTCTCACCATTCTTATTCAACTTTGCACGGCGGTCCTATCCAATGCAATATGGTAGGAAAAGGAAATAAAAGGCAAATAGATCAGAAAAGAAGAAATAAAACTGTATGCAGATGACACAGTTGTCTACATAGAATAATGTCCACAGTGGAACTTAAATGACTTTTTGGTGACAATTCTGTCACATTTCTCCCAAGAGATTTGCCCTGACATAGTCACCCCAGGTTTAGAAGCACAGGAGGTTTAGGTGAGTGAACCACAAACACAAGTTTGACACATATGAGAAATACTCACAGATATAGATCTTATATCCATGATAAGGCCATTGTCCTGCTGATCTGAGCCAGCCGCAACCTATCCCTGGGCTCTTATTACTTGGTGTAGTGACTGCTTGTGATGTTTAAGTCACTTGCAGTGAAATCTTCCATCACTTGTGGCTGAAAGAATCCTTAGTGATCCTTTCATTTCTCATTCTTTCTTTGATATTCTCTCCCTCTCTCCCCCTGCTCTCCTCCTTCTCTTACTCTCTTTCCCCCCTCTCCCCAGTTTCCCTCCTCCCCCGTACACACACACTCAGAGAACCACAGTCACATATGCAGCCGAGCTGTCATTTATACAGTCACATATAAACAAGGTCAATGTCAAGCAAAATTGTTTATTTTCACACATTGCACAAAAATTACAAGAATAAACCTCTTTTGGGGTCTTCATAAACAAATAGGGATCTGGAAGCAATAATCTACGGGAGGTATTTGGTGCATAAACAATATCTCAGACACTGGGACAGGTTGCAGGTGGGTCTCGGGGGTCAGACACACAGGTCTCTATCAGCTACACGTTTCAGGTCCTGGGTGAGGAGGCGGAGGAGGTTGAACATGACAGAGGCTTGGAGGCAGCCACGGAACTCCTGTGGGGAGGAGGGATGGGTCAGCGGCCGCCCATCCTCTGGGCTCCCAGTTGCCCCCAGACACTGGTCACTCCCCGGTCACTCACCTTCCTCGGGGCCTCAAGGAGCCGGTGCAGCCACTGGTGCAGGCGGCCCCGGGGCCTGGGGCCCACTGTGGGCTGAGCGGGGACCTGCGGGCAGAGGAGGGGGGACAGTGAGGCAGGGCCTGGGACGGGGGGGACATGTGGGTGGTCAGAGCCTACAGACACGGCCTGGGCGCCCCAACACTCACACAGGCCTGGAGTTGAGAGTGGATGAGGCTCAGCGTGTGAAGGGGCTGGTCCAGGATGTCCCCCAGGGACGAGTCAGCCATGGTCCCCAGGACCTTCAGAGTCAGGGCCAGCTCCGCCTCCAAGGCCACGGGGCGCTCCCACACCTGAGGAGAGGGACAGAGACAGGTGAGAGTGCACGGGAGAGAACAGGTGAGGAGACCGAGGAAGGGACAGGTGACGGGGAAAGTCAGGGGACAGTGGGAGGGCACAGCCACTGTGGCCAGGTGAGGGCAGAGGTCAGGGGGAATGGCGGGGGGGCAAGCAGAGCGGGACAGTGAGAAGCAGAAGGTGAGGGGGCCGCCTAAGGAGCCAGACGAGCGGCGCCCAGTGAGGGCAGGGGGCCTGACTCTCCCCTCTCACCTGCAGCTGCTTCAGGTGCCAGGTCCTGGGGAAGGGGCGGGAGCCGCAGCTCCTGTTATGCTTTGGCAAGAAGGACTCTTCCTAGAGGGCAAGGGCAGAGGTCAGCCAGCAGCAGGAGGGACATGGGGAGACTCAGGAAGCTGTCCTTCACCCTCATAAGGCCTCTCGCCTGGCTCCATTCCTGACTCCTGGGCCTCTTTCACAGAAGGAGGATCAGCGGCTGCCCTCAGCTCCGTGGCCCGGGGCTCTCTCTCTGGGTCTTGTCTGATCTCTGGCCTCAGTCTCCATTTCTAGGTCTCAGCCTGCTGCTCTGTCCCCAGCTGTGCCCCTGAACTTCCAGCTCCATCTGTGACATAATTCTTGCCTCAGCTCCATGGTGCAGTGTTTAGCCTGGACGGACAGGGGGTCGGGCTGTACAGGGGGTCGGGCTGATGCAGGAGAGCACAGCCGGAGGGTGGTACCTGTCCCCAGGGGAAGCCCCAGGCTGGGGAGGCCAGGAGCAGGGCAGGGCCGGGGGAGCCAGGGAGCCTGGGAAAGGGAAACTGCTGTGGAAAGTAACCGCCTGAGCTGGACAATCCTCAGGGTTGGGGCAGCTTCGGCCCCACAAGGAGGGGTCATAGGTGCCTGATGGGGTGGGGGCTCATCTCTCTGCAGGTAGCCTAAATGTGGAGGGGGGGGATGGTGAGGGGTCACCCAGGAAGTATTTCCATGAAGGGGCTGGAGGCTCCCAGACGGAGGCTGCTTAGGGGAGGGGAGACGACCAGGGAGAGGGCCTCTGTGGGGGGGAAGAGAAGTCAGTAAGGGGGAGACAGCAGAGAGTAAAGAAAAGGACAGGTCTCCTCGGCCCTCCCCCACCTGCCAAAATATGAGACAGGAATGAAAGTGTCTGCTGAGGATTTCAGGTCCAGCTGAGGTCTTGACGGGAGCCAGACGATTCTGACCAACCCATCCCTTCATTCATTCCTTCAGTCCATCGGTCCATCGTTGAGTCAAGAGTGTATTTATTGAGTAGTTCCTATAGGCCAGTGAACAAGACCCACAACCCTCCCTGCCCTCATGGAGTGGACACTCCAGGGGCGGGGTGGGACAATAACAAAGCAATGAACTAAATATGAATGACATCAGCTATGAAGAAGTGCTTCTGAGAAAGATTAAGCTGGAGATGGAGTTGGGTGTGCAGAGAAGGGATTGCATCCTATAAGAAAGGTGGACAAGGCAACATCTGATTGAAGACCTGGAGGAGGGAGGGAGGGAACCATGAGGACGTCTGGAGGAACAGCATCCCGAGCAGTGGGAACAGCCAGTGCTAAGCGAGAAAATGGCGAGGCTCTCCCCCTGGCACCTCCCTGTCCTGGAGACTTTCCACACACGAGAGCAGTGAATTCTCACAACTCCTCTGAAGTGGGGACCGTGCTTTTTCCCACCTTGAACATGAGGGAGCTGCCACTCAGAGAGGTTAGGAGACTTGCCGAGTTCACACAGCAGGTACGCACCAAGGGCAGACAGCTTTGCCCGGCAGCCAGGCCTTCACCCCTGGCCCCTCCTGCCTCAGAGGGGTTGAGTTTCTGGAGGAAGCTTGGCTGCGCTCTCTGTCACCCGGCTCCTCCCACCCAGGGAGCCCCTGAGGGGACCTGGGGCCGACTTTGCCTCGCCCACCCAAATCCTCTCACCCCTCCTTCCTCAGAACTGGAGATGGAGACAGGAACGGGCCCCCAAACCCAGGACGACACCTTCCTGTATCCTCTGTGCCAGGTGTGGCCATGACTGCAGCCGCCCCAGCACCTCGGCCTTCAGACACGGGAGGAGGTCTACTCGCTTTCCCTTCCCACATCCCGGACCCTGGACGTGTCCGAGAGGCAGACTCCGAGTGCAGACCAGGACGACGCCCAGGGCAGGGGTTCTAACCCAGCATGGAGGTCAGGGCCGGCCTGTGGACTGGGACGGGCAGAGAAACATCTTTCTTTTTACTAACCTCTCTCTGAAATTGGACATTTCCTTCCTGTCTAATTTCTTATGGCTGCTGCAACACATCACCACAAACTTGGTGACTTAACACAAATTTTCCATCTTCTGATACTGAATAATCAAAATAATCATATTTTGCATATGCATACATATATGTGGTAGAATATTATTCAGCCCTAAAAAGGAAGGAAATTCTGACACATGTACAACATGAATGAACCTTGAGGACATTATGCTACGTGAAATAAGCCAGTCACAAAAAGATAAATACTGTATTATTCCAGTTATATGAGGTTTCTAGAGCAGGCAAATTTGTAGAGACGGGACATAGAATGGTGGTTGCTGGGGACTAGGGGGAGAGGGGAGGGGGAATTGTTGTTTAATGGGGACCAAGTTTCAGTGTTGCAAGATGAAAAAGTTTTGGAGGTTGGTTCTGCAACAATGTGAATATACTTAACACTACTGAACTTTGCACTTAAAATGGCTAATATGGTAGATTTTCTGTGTATTTTTCACAATTAAAAATTGAGGGCCAGCCCCGTGGCTTGGCGGGTGGGTGCGCACGCTCCGCTGCTGGCGGCCCTGGTTCGGATCCCAGGCGCGCCCCGACGCACCGCTTCTCCGGCCATGCTGAGGCCGCGTCCCACATACAGCAACTAGAAGGATGTGCAGCTATGACATACAACTATCTACTGGGGCTTTGGGGGAAAAAATAAATAAATAAATAAAAATTGAGAAAATTACCTAGCCAAAAAAATGAAACAATGTTAAACACTCCATAAATTTATGCTCACAGTTCTGGAGGTCAGAAGTCTAACATCAAGGTGTTGGCAGGGCTGGTTCCTTCTGGAAGAATCCATCTCCTTGCCTTTTTCAGTGTCTAGACGTCTCCTGCGTTCCTTGAGTTGTGTTTCCCTCCTTGCGTCCCTCCAATCTCTTGCTTCCAGTGTCTCACCTCCCCTACTGACTCTGAGCCTCCTGCCTCCCTCTGTGATGACATTGGGTGTCCCTGGTTGACACAGAATAATCTTCCCATCTCAAGACCCTGAACTTAGTCACATCTGTAAAATCTCTTTTACGGTGTAAGGGGACATATTCCAAGGACTAGGAACACCTCTGGGGGCCATTATTCAGTCCACCACACATCTGTACAAATGGAGGCCACAACCCACAACCCAGTAGTGTTAGCAGAACTTGTGACTTTGTCACCAGAAGAAATCACAGATGTTTCCATATCACAATACTTTCCAGTAGGCATCTTGAAATAACATTTATGCTCCACTCTACTTTTAATTACAGTAGCTATTAAAGCTGCCACGAGTGACTTTTTATTGAATGGCTTAATGAAGAAGTGCATAAATTACTATATCACAGTTTTAAAAAATATTTTGATAACTGCATTACAATAGAAATTGGATTCCTTTGTCCTGTGAATTTTCTTTTATTCCTCAAGGCAGCCACGAGGCCCAAGGCGTGAACATGTTAAGAATGCCCACCCTCGGGGCCTGCAGAGCAAAGAACTGGGTCCTTGGACGACGGGGCAGAGCCGTCCTTCACACTGGCCCACTCCCCTTGGGACTGCAAGGGGGTGGAGATTTATGCTTATGAGTTTCTTTAATCCACTGGTGTGGAGGGTCTCTCTGTTACAGCAGCTCAGCCTGCGTGTGAACTCTACTCAGCGTGGACTGACGGGTCTGAGTTGTTCTCACCTGCGGGGGCAGATCCAGGGTTAGTGGGGCTTGAGGCTTCCACAAGTTAGGGGCTTCTTTTAAAAAACAGAATAGACGCAGCCACTATGGAAAACAGTGCAGAGGTTCCTCAAAAAGTTAAAAATAAAACTACTATATGATCCAGCAATTCCACTTCTGGATATTTATCCAAAGTCTATTTTCACCAGACTTAGTGAAAATATTAAGTCTAAAAGAATATGCACCCCCGTGTTGATTGCAGCATTATTTACAATAGCCAAGACATGGAAGCCACATCAGTGTCCATCAAGGAATGAATGGATGAAGAAGATGTGACCTATATAATAATGGAATATTATTTGGCGATAAAAAAGAAGGAAATCTTGCCATTTGTAACAACATGGATAGACCTTGAAGACATTATACTAAATGACATAAGTCAGACAGAGAAAGATAAATACCATATGATCTCACTTACATGTAGAATCTAAAAAAAAAAAAACGAATTCAAAGACACAGAGAACAGATTGGTGGTTGCCAGAGGTGGGAGGTAGGAGGTGGGCGAAATGGGTGAAGGGAGTCAAAAGGTACAAACTCCCAGTTACAAAATAAATAAGTCACGGGGATGTAATGTACAACATGGTGACTATAGTTAATAATACTGTATTATACATTTGAAAGTTGCTAAGAGAGCAGATGTTAGAAGTTCTCAACTCAAGAAAAAAATTGTAGCTATGTGTGGTGATGGATGTTAACTAGACTTATGATGGTGATCATTTCACAATATATACAAATATCGAATCATGATGTTGTACACATGAAACTAATATCATGTTATACATCAATTATATCTCAATAAAAAAAGAAACAGAATGGAAAAATATTTTATTTTGCTTATTTTATAAAAACATATGACCGTGTGAACACATTGATAAGGCACTGCCCCCGACCCGGGATGCCAAGAGACACCAAGGATGTCACAGGTATGGGAATAAGTACCATCAGGACCGGTGTGGACATGGACCAGATCCCAAGAGCGCTCTATCAAAGGTGAGCAGAAGGGAAAGTTGATGTATTTGTTCCCAGGGCTTCCGTAACAAAACACCACCGACTGGGCAGCTTAACACAGAAATGTATTGTCTCACGGTTCTGGAGGCCAGAAGTCCAACATCAAGGTGTCAGCAGGGCCACGCTCTCTGAAACCCGTAGGGAATCCTTCCTTGCATCTTCCAAGCTTCTGGTGGTTTGCTGGCAGTCTTTGGTGCTCCCCGTCTTGTAGCTGCACGCTCCAATCTCTGCCTCCTTCTTCACAACGCGTTTTCCCTGTGTCTCTGACATCACATGGCCGTCTTCTTTTAAGGACAACAATCACATTGGACTGGGGCCCCTCCTACTCCAGCATGACTTCCTCTTAACTAATTACACCTGCAACAACCTTATTTCCAAATAAGGTCACGTTCTGAGGTACCAGGGGTTAGGACTTCAACATATATATGGGGAGGGGGAGCACAATTCAACCCATAACAGTTGGATTAGGGAGAGTTTATCAATACCGGAGTATTCCTCAGTGATAAAGGATTTAACATCCCAGCAAGGAAGCTGGGAGATGGGGTTAATACACTTGGAAAACGTGAAGCGCGCACTCCATGCAGTAGAAATGGCAGGAGACTGGTATGAAAAGGCTCAGAGGACGTGCAGGAGGGGTTATGTTACATGAGACTGGAGACCCACCTGGCTACGTGGTCCATGGAGATGCTGCACTAATGACACTCTGTCTTCCAGAGTGAGAGGGATGTCCCAGCAAGGGTGTATCAGCAACACCGAGAAACTCAGAGGAGGCTCGCTCCATGGGCCAGGGACGACAGTAGGGGATGCTTTTATAAACTGGACTCCCTGATAACGATGACATTGGTAGCACCCCTAAATAATAGAGGTGGGGGGGTGACACAAACTCCAGAAGTGAGCTGGACACAGTTATTGCGATGAGCAGCAAGGTTGGATTGGCAGCCAGTGAGCCTGACCTACAAAGAGCATTGGAGAGATTTAGTAGAACATAAACCTCCAAGGGGCAAGATGGATGGCAGTCAATAAGAACATTTATTAATCTATACAATCAGAAGAAATTGAGGATGCATGATCCAGAGGCTGAGGGCAGATGCCCTAATAAGAAATCACGGTCCCCTGCCCCATTTCCAGACCTGAGTCAGTCTTCAGATCCCAAACTTCAGGAGAGACCAGGCCCCTGTGAGGACAACTCTGCAATGCCACAGCAAGTGTGTTCATCAGTGACCTCCACAGGCCTTCCCCAGAGGGACCCGACCATGGTGAGCTGCCTTGTACCACTCACGAGAGCCAAGTGTTCAATTTTCAGGAATTTTGTAAGTTGATTGTTAAGCAAAGCCATTAAAAATTAAATTATGTAAACTCACAATTAAAAATTATATTTAAAAAAGTAATAAATACTCATAAATCACTTCCTGATTATTTTACCACATTTTACTATTATCTATGCCCTTGAGGTTATTTATAGGTTGAATTGCATCTCCCCAAAAGGTACGTTGAAATCCTAACCCTTAGTACTCAGAATGTGACTTTATTTGGAAATACGGTCATTGGAGATGTCATTGGGTAAGATGAGGTCACTAGCGAGGGCCCTAATCCAATCTGACTGGTGTGCCCATAAAAGAGGAGGAAGGCACACAAAGGGAGAGACACGCAAGGAGAAGCCAGCCGTGTGACAAGGAGGCAGGGACTGCAGCGATGCATCCAAAGACCGCCAGGGATTGCGGGCGAACCCCAGAAGCTGGAAAAGGCAAGGCAGGGTTCTCCCCTACAGGTTTCCGAGGAAACTGCTGGTACCTGGAGTTTGGACTTCTCGCCTCCAGAACTGTGAGACAATAGATTTCTGCTGTTTTATGTCAGCTAGTTTGTGGTACTTTGTCATGACAGCCAAGAAAGAAAACATTATGTCTATTACATCCTTATAGAAATACTCTATAATGACGTCCCGCCGCAGTCTCTTCCAAATTCTGTGCTCAGGGACGTCATGTTGGCAGCTTGACATCAGCCATCGTGGCTGTATCTACACCAGAGAAATTGGAAAATGCTGCAAATCAGAGCTTTTCCTCTCAGAGAGCCAGTTGTGAAACATCTACTGGCAAACCATTGCAATGGCAGTTTCCTTGGGTACAAACAGCACACTGGTGACAGGTGAAGACGCAGAGCTTCTGATAACTGGTGAACGCGGGGTCAGGATCAGTGTTGATGCTGGGGACCCGGAGCGCCATCCTGGCCCTTCTGTTAGCGGGGGGTGCATGGTGGCAGGGAAGAAATGGAGTCCAGACCCAGGTGTGGCTCGCAGAGCTGTTATAATGGGAAAAGGCCAAAGAGAAGCTTCTGAAACTGGTCCCTTCCAGGCCTGGCCATCATAATTAAAAAAAAATCATCACATCCCAGAGGTTACGGCAGAGATTAACACCATCCTCCAAGACATGAAGGATGCAAGAGTGGTGGTCCCTGTCACATCCCCGTTTAGTTCACCTGTCTGACCCTTCAAACACCATATGGATCAGGGTGGAGGACAGCAGACGTGCAAACTGAACCAAGTCGTAGCCCAAATGCAGCTGCTGTGCGGGACATGGTCTCTTCGCTAGAGAGGGTTCACGCAGGCTCACTCTCTGATATGTGGCCGTCGACCTGGCAAGTGCGATCTTTCTGTCCCCACCAGAGAGGAGAAGCAGAAGCAGTTCACATTTCCTTAGGCTGGCCAACAGGCACGCTCAGAATCCGGCCCCAGGGATGTGTTAGCATCTGGCCTCTGTCGTAACATCAACTGCGAGGCCCTGGACCATCTGGACCTGGCACAGATCTTTACATGGGCTCACACTTCAGTGGCACGTGTTACTCAGATGGTATGAGGAAGAAGGGACAAGTACGTTGGAAGATATGCTCCAGAGGTGGGAGAGAAACCCTTCAAAAATTTAGGAGCCTGCAACATGAGTGAAGTTTTTAGGGGTCCAGTGGTCTGGGGTATGTCAGGACACCCCCTCCAAAATAAACTTATTGCAACTCACACTTCCCACCAAGAAGAAAAGGCACAAGGCCTGTTAGGCATCTTCGGCTTCGGCAGACAGCATATTCCACACTTGGGAATAAAGCTCCAAGCCACAAACATGGGAAGGTGTGAGCTCTGAATGGGTGCAGAACAGAAGGAACTCTGCAGCGGGTCCAGGCTGTGCTGCGAGCAGCTCTCTCGCTTGAAGCGCATGATCCAACAGACCCTGTGGAACTAGAGGCATCTGTGCAAGGAAACACCCCTTGTGGGGTTTACACAAACCTCAGCAGGAGAATCACAATGCAGCCCACCAGGGTTCCAGAGCAAGGACAGGACGTCCACAGCAAAGCACACACCATTCACAAAGCAGTGCCTGGTGCGCTGCTGGGTCACGGAGGAGAGAAGGCACAGGACCACGAGGCATCGAGTGACCAATATGAGCTGTCTCACCCAGCAAATCGTAAGGCCAGGTGAGCCAAGCACCCATTCTCTGGAAGACGGAAGAGGTGCCTCCTCTAGGACTGGGCACAGGCAGAGCCAGAGGACAAGTCAGCTTCATGCACAGGGGGTCCAGCTCCATGTCATCCATCACTGTTGCATCAGTGCCTGTTCCTCTGTTCACACCCACGGCCACATGGCATGGGGGCCCTTTATGACAGGCTGATGATGAAAGAAAGAGGCTCAGGTTGGTCCATGGGTTGGCCCAGTATGTGGGAATAAGAAGAAAATGGACTTTCGTTTCACTACGGCCCAGTTCAAGGCTGGCCCTGAAAGATGGTGCTGAGAGGAAATCTTCCCAATGGGCAGAGCTGCCGGTGATGAAGCTGATGGTCTACTGTGTGGAAAGGGAAGCAGCCCAAGGTGACTGTGCATGAACTTATGAGCAGTGGCGGATCACCCTGATGCTTGGTCAGCAGCCTGGAATTAGCCTGAAAAAGATGAGATGATCACAGAAGAGGACATTTGGGATAGAGGTATATGGATGGACACGTGTGGGTGGACACAGTATGGAGATGTTTTTGCATGTCAATGGCCACCAGAGAGCATCAACTGCTGAAGTGACATTAATCAACCAAGGAGAAATAATGACGTGGCCAGTTGAGCTCAGCCTCTATCATCAGCCTCCCCAGCTCTGGCACCCCGGCCAAAGGAATGGAGCAGCCATAGTGTCAGGATGGAGGCCGGGCATGGGGCCCAAGAGCACGAGCTCCCGTTCACCAAAGCTGACCTAGCTGCTGCCACAGCAGAGTGTCAAGCTTGCCCGCCAGAAGCGCCAGCCCTGAGAAGACGACCTGCTGCTCGGTGGCCAGTTGACCGCATTGGATCCCTTCCACCCTGGATGGGGCAGTGATCTAACTAGACTGGGATAGCCCAGCCATGAGTTTGCCTTTCCTGACCTCAAGGCCTCAGCCAGAACTATCATCTGAGGGTTTTCAGAACTCTGGTCCACCAACAAAGGATCCTGTGTAATATCACCATGGAGGAAGGGATTTTAGTGTAAGGGAAGTGCAGCATGGCAGAGGACCATGGGATCCACAGGTGCCATTACACACCCCATTACCCAGAAGCTTCTGGCCTAATCGATCAGAGAAATGGCCTATTATAGATGCAGGTTAGGCCATGCTTGGCATTGAAACTCAGCAAGGATAGAGGACCATCACTGGGTATGTAGCATCCACCTTAAATCAACTGTCGCTATATGGTGTTGGGTCCCAAGTAGGTAGAAAAAGGAGTCTGGGAACCAGGAGTGAATGTGAAAATGGCATGCTTCCCACTGACCCACCTTAGAAATCGGTGCTTCCTACCAGAAGAAGTTTAGGCCCTGCAGATTCAGAGGCCCTGGTTCCCAGAGAGGAGTCCTTTCCACCTGGAAGACAGCACAAATCCCACGGAACATTAAGCTCTGACTGTCACCCAATCACTGCCTTCTGCCAAGAGAGCAACAAACAAGAGGAGGAGTTTGACATCTTGAGAGGGGTAATTGACCCTGCTGTCAGGAGGAGGTAGGGATCTGCCGCACAGTGGGGGCAGGAAGAACACGTTTAGCACTCAGGTGATCCACTGGGGCATCTTCAGTTACTCTCTTGACCAGACGTAGTGAAAAAAATGAACAGGTAGAGAGGAGCCATAGCCTGAGAAGGTCATGGTCACAATGGCCTCAGACCACTCAGGGATAAGGGTTTGGGTCATCTCCTCAGGTAAGCACCTAATCCCGCAGAAGTAGGGTGAAGGGAATCTAGAATGTGTGGTGGAGGGGGGAATAGTGAGTACCAGTCACTTCCCTGTGACCAGCTGCAGAAGTGGGATG